TCTCTTACTCTTTAACAGACACACGACATTCTCTCCCTCCCTCCTCCTCTTTCTCTCTCTCTCCCCCTCCCTCCCTCCTTCCCCCTTCCCTCCTCTCTCTCTCTCTCTCTCTCATACACACACACACACACACACACACACACACTCCAACAGAACAGTGCACGAATTTCTCTTCCAATCTCAAATCCCTCATGCACGCGGATGGATTTGGGCAGCACATTTTTTGAAGATTAGAAAGGATTTATTTTAATTTTTTACAAAAGGCTTTTGGAGCTTTTTCCTCAGGAGAGTCGAGCTCTGGTATCTTCCTTTGCCTAAAATAGTTTGCGCAGAACCAAGCAAACCCTGTAGGAGAGAAATGGCGACTTTCATTCTCTCATTCCTACACACGGCAAAGCTTTCCTCTCTCCCTTTGTCTTCTCTCCTCAGCCCCTTCCTTCTTTTTTTTTGCTACAAACGCGAGTGGGTGCTCTCCACCCTGAAGCGGGCACCAGTTCACTGTTCTCCAGTCACCTGGGTCAGCCGTGCGGAGCCCCCAAACTCTCCTCTAGACTCTCAGCCCGACTTTTCTGATGGAGAAGAGCAGAACCCAGGCTTTTGACAAATAACTGTGTGTGTGTGTGTGTGTGTGTGTGTGTGTGTGTGTGTGAGAGAGAGAGAGAGAGAGAGAGAGAGAGAGAGAGAGAGAGAGAGAGAGAGATGCACTGGTGTGGTCACAGGCGCTCTGAGATGATGTAACATCAGGAATCACCCATCTGGCCTTATCCCTTCCAACTGAAAAGTGATTGGTCAAGACTAGTTTTAACTTGGTACCTAGGTAACAGGTACTGAGAGGGATGGCGCCGTTTGCTCAGATCTGGGGCTGCATGTCCAGGAAGATGCCTGCTCCCCCACCCCCACCCCTGCGCCCTCAGGCCACACCACTCTGCAGGGTCCCTGCTTCCCAGACAAGGCTGAGGCTCGAGTGACAGAAGCTCTGTCTTCCCCTCCCCACAGGGCCGGACATCCTATTTTGCACAGATCTTCATTTCCTCTTTTTTAAAAAGTGGAAAACCAAAATAGCTGTAAATTTTAATTAAAATTAATAATGATTTAAAAATCTTCCACTGAATCAGTCATTATGCAGTATTGCGAAACCATCTTGAAAGAGTTGAGCTAAAAGGTAAGCGAGCCTAGTTATTTCCTGGCATCTTTACTTGAGACTAATTTAGAAATTGTATATATATATATAGTTTGTTAGTTCTTGCTTATTTCATTATTATTGTGTGCTATTGAGACAGAACCGACCCAAAGCTGACCCTTCGGAAGCTTTTCAGAGGCAGTAATCCCATGGGACATGATTGCCCCTCCATTTCCCATGGAGCAGCTGGTGGATTTGAACAGTGTACCTTTAGGATCGCAGCACAGAGTGTTACCACTAAGCAACCAGGGAACTCTGGTGGTAAGAATTCCTCCTTATTTTATCTCTGTTGTTGTTTGCCATAGAGTTAGAACCGGTCCATAGTTGACCCTAAGATCTTAATTTCCTCTTAAGGCTCAAATCTGGCTGGAAGTGAAGTCATCTCACATCTCATGAAGGCCTTGATGACTCCAGGGGCCCAAGGAATGCTTAACCCGATGCTTCCAAATGAAAAACTGCACCGTAAAGAATGCTCTAGGGACTAGAAGGACACCACCCAGCCGCATCAGGGCAGCACCTGGCGAACCCAGGAGGAGCTTCCCGCCCCGCCTATCCCAGTCTGTGTCAGCTTCCCCTGTAAAGAATCTGAAAGAAACGGAAGGTGGTGGGCCCACAGACAACGTTTTCCTCCTCTCCTCCCCACCCCCTAATTATCCAACAATCCTTTCGTTTTGCAGGTGCACAGATAGCGCCAGATTGAAGCTGAAATTGGTCCAAAAATGCTGCTCCTTGACGTTCCCTGATATTTTGTCAGACTGGGGGGATTATGCCGTCTCTAAACGGGGGGGGGGTCTATAGTACCACAAGGTGCAGGCTCTCAGCCCCCATATCCCGCACGGGAAGGGGGGAAGTAATTTCTTTGTCAATTTGTGCCTATACCCCACAGGATCCCAGAAGGGGTCCGGGTGGATGCGTCCTTTTTGCTTCAGGACGTTCAGGATGGCTTTGAGAAAGACCTTGAAATAAGTAAACTTCAGAGATGGGGAAAAGGGGGGGGCGAAGCATTGAGCAGGACACGCTCATTGCCACCAATCTGGGCTGGGAAGGGGCTTCATTCAGCCCGTTCTCGTGTCATGAGATTTAACCAGGAGACAGGAGGGCACCTCATTTTTCCGGCCTTCCTGTTGGCAGCCTCCACTACCTTCATGGACCTGGACCTCTGGAGGGACTTTGTGACAAAGGTGGCAGACACTATGAACTTCCTAAGTCTTTGGAAGTGTCCCAAAGTCTACCAGCTCAGTTTTCCTAATAAGAAACTCCCCATTGGTCCCTAGAGCCTGGGGATAAGCTTGAGTGGTTGTGGGGTGTCTGGGCTAATCCTCTGGCTTTGTAGGACCTCCAGCCATCAGAGGGAGTGGAGGAGAGAGAAGCGCGCTGCTCTACAAAGTGGAGCTGAAAACACAGGACTACCTCCCTCCGCTTCCACTGGGACTTCTTAGAGAAACTTAGTACTTGATGGTGGTGGCAAGTCTGTGGACGAGAATACAGGACTGGCTTCCGCCCCAGATCCACTAGCATGCTTCCACTCAAAAGGAGCTGCCCTCTCTTGGCCTGGTCCACAGAATATGAGTCCCAAGAAGCAGAAGGGAGAGTACCACAAACAAGTTCCTTCCCAGAGCCACCAGCTCTAGAGACAGAAAACCCAGCAGGAGACAGACCCCCAGCTCTGGCAGGGAAGGCGTGGAGCGGAGGAGCCGTTAGCCTGACAAATGAAACCGGGCCGTGGACTCTCTTTGGCCCGGCAGGTCCTTTTCATTAGAGCTCAAACGCCTTCTCTTCCCAGAAGAACCATTGACCCTAGAAAGGTCCCTGTCCGTTTCCCTCAATCTGTGGAGGCAGAAAACTTGGGGGAAATGTAGAACCATGGATTCTGTGCTGGTGAAGGGGCTTAGGAAACAAGGACATAATGGCAGCCCTCAAGTTCGCGCGCGCGCGCACACACACACACAAGATTCCTTCTAAGTGATCTCCTCTCTTGTACAATAAATCACACAGTGTACCCCCCTGGACGGGTGGAGGGCAACCAGACGCGTCCTGCGTCTCCACAGGCCCATCCCCGAGCTGCGGAGCCCGCTAGACTCTCCAACACTGGGTGGAGGTGAGGGCTGGCCACTTCCTCCACTTGGGCGCGTGTTTTTTTCAGGGGCCAGCGCGAGCCAAGGAGCGGCTGCACTCTACTCCTCCCCTGTCTTGCTTTCTGAGTTTGTCTTAATTAGGGGGTGGGGAGCCCCAGTTCACGTAACAACCTTCCAAGGAGTAGGGCAAGGGAGGAAGCCACGTAGAGAGAAGGAACTCCGATGGGGGGCGGGGGAGAAATTTAAAATTTCTAAAAGGCAGAGGGAGAACTTGAAGCCAGAAGTCATTGTTTCCTTTTATTTCAAAGGGAAAAACCTGCCTGATTCTCATCCTTTTGATTGATTAAGGACCTGAATACCTCTCGGCCCCGGAGTGACAGTCCCTGAATAGGCTCCGGGGAATAAAGCAGGGCCGAGCGCGGGCTGGTGCTCGGGTGTAAAGGAGAGAGTTCGCTGGCACTTACCAAGTTATAAATAAAGGGCCGCGCACAATGGTACCTTCTCTAAGGACAGACAGTCTTTACAACACTCCTGGCGTCATATCCTGCTGGGGACACTTCAGCTCCTAGCCAAGACTTCGCTCCTTTTCTTTTTCCAGCACTTTAGCCTGAATGCCATAATAAATTCCTGAGAACAAACGCTGGGGCGAAACTTTAACATATAGACGCATCTCGAAGTCGCCGAGCTAGACCCGTCGAGGGAGCCGCGCGGCCCAGAGCGGTTTTGAAATGAAAGAGGCGAGAGGGCTCCCCAGCCCCCCGCGTCTAGGCTTCCACTGAGGGTCCTGGGGATCAGCCTTGCTCCCCAGACTTCGCAGGTCATCGCACTCCCAGACCCAGGAGACAAAGAACTTTATCTGCCCCGAAAGGACCCCAGCAGAGAGGACCGCAGAGATCAGCCTAGCAGTCCCAGAGCAGTAAAGCAGCAAAGGAAGACGCAGCAGGTTTTAGGGGCCTCCACGTTCTCTGATGGGGACTGTCTCCCCTCCAGTGGCAGTGAGCCAAGAGGGGTGACACATAGGACAGAGACACGCACAGGTAGAGAGGAAAGGAGGCAGAGAGAGACACAGACAACAAGAGAAATAGAAGTCAAAGCGCGAGCGACCGGACAGATGCACCGACAGTGACGGAGCAGCCGCCCTGTCCTCCCCCCTTGGCGGTGGCCCTCGGCCCGGGTCGCCTGCCCCTGTCCCGGGTGGCTTCCGCCGCCCACCCTTCTCTCCCGGGGAAGGGGCGCGGCTCAGGTCCCTCCCGGGGCGGCCTGGGCCAGGGACCCGCTGGGGATGGGAAGAGAAAGTGGCCGCTGTCGCCCAATCAGCGCGTGTCTCCGCCACCCGGGACGGTCTCGCCGTCGGCCAATCGCAGCTCAGGGCTCCTCACCAAGCTTTGGGTGAAAGAACTAATAAATGCTCCCGAGCCCGGCTCCCCGCACTCGTGCCACCGCGGGAGGAGACTCGGCGCCGCGCTCCCGCCCCGCCCCGAGCCCCCTCCCGGCACCCCCAGCCTCAGGGCTACTTGCCCAGACTCGCCCCAAACTTCTCCGCCCTGGGCTCGGGAGCCCGCACTCAGGGCCTCCGCACCGCCCCCCGCGCAGGGTCCCCTCTCCAGCCCCCGGGCGCGCAGCGCGCAGTGCCCCCGTGCGCGCGCCCCTCGGTAGCCTGCCTTTTTGGGGAGGGGCTCCGGGGAGCCCCGGAAGGTCCCCCGCGCCGCGCTTGCCCCGCGTCAGCCCGGGACCAGCCGCCGAGCATAGCGGCCGCACGATGACCACGCTGGCCGGCGCGGTGCCCAGGATGATGCGGCCCGGCCCCGGCCAGAACTACCCGCGCAGCGGCTTCCCGCTGGAAGGTAAGCGAGGCCGGCGCAGGCCGGCCGGGGCGCGCCGCCCATCAGGGTCTGGGCCCCCCGCTCCTTCCTCTCGCCCGGGAGAGCCCCGTCCAGGGCAGTCCTTCCACGAAACGCAGCAGTGGGGGACCGGGGGCCCTACTATTCTTCTCCAGCAGCCCCCGCGGAGCCTGGAGGACAGGCCTGAGTCCTGCCAGGCTCCTTCTCCCTGTTGTTTTTGGAAAGGCCTAGGCGGGTAAGGGGTGCCCAGGCCCCCGGGGGGCACCAGAAAGCAAATCCTGAGCTCAAATGCGTCTCCAAAGTGCCCCAGGCGCGCCCTCACATTTGTTCAACTCTGGGTGCTTTCCAGAACTTTTCTTTTGGCCAAGAGTCTCTGTGGCCACAGACGCTGTGGGAACGAGAGGCGGAAAGTTCCCCGGGTCTCCGGGTGGCATCGCAGCCTCTTCCGGACGCGGCGGGGGAAAGCGCCCGAAACTCCCGGGGAGCCCTGGGAGCAGGGAGATTCGCCGGTAGAGTTTCTCAGGCTGTTGGCGAGTTTGGGGGCCGCTTGGGCCGGCACGCTGATCTCTTCAGTTTGGGCCCAAGAATCTAAGAGGAAGAGTAGGGGGCCTGGGCGGCAGCGAGCAGGCCCCAGTGCTTTGGGGCTTTCTGAGGTGTAACAGGTGATACGCACTGCTGCCTGTGGCCTCCTTTCGGGGTGTCTCTTTGACTCTTAGCCAGATACCCCGAGGGCTGTCAAGGACCTTTTGGAAAAGGGGAGGCCCAGTGCGCCAAAGCTGGCGAGGCCGGCGCTGGGGACAGCTCATTTGCAAGGAAGTGTCTTCTCCACCCGCATCCGCCGCAGGCTGTTCCCCCAAATATCCTCCCCCAGGCCCTAAGGAAGGTGGTGTCTCGGGCTGGGGCCAGTGACTGTGCCCTGTGGTCCCGTCCCCCACGGCCCTGCTGTCCCCTTTACCCCAGCTCGCTCTGTAATGGACACAAGTGGAGCCGAGGGAGGGCCCGGTGGCCAGCACCGTTTGACAGCCACTTGAGCGCTGGAGGCTGTGACTCGCAGGGCGAACTCTGGGCGGCTTTTCCTTGCCCCGCGTGACGTTCTCTTCCCTCACCCGTCTTCTCCGTGTGCCCCAGTGTCCACTCCTCTGGGCCAGGGCCGCGTCAATCAGCTCGGCGGCGTTTTCATCAACGGCAGGCCGCTGCCCAACCACATCCGCCACAAGATCGTGGAGATGGCCCACCACGGCATCCGGCCCTGCGTCATCTCCCGCCAGCTGCGCGTGTCCCACGGCTGCGTCTCTAAGATCCTGTGCAGGTACCAGGAGACGGGGTCCATCCGGCCCGGGGCCATCGGCGGCAGCAAGCCCAAGGTGAGCGCGCGGGTCCGCGGCCTTCTCTGGCCTCGCCGGGCTCCGGCGTCAGGGTTCAGGGCACAGAAGGCAGACAAGAGAGCGAGGGAGGGGGTTCCCCAAGAGCTGCTTCTTTTCTTTAGAGAAAAAAAAAAAAGTAACAGAAAGTGTGTACGGTTGTATGTTGGCTGGTCGTGGAGACCCGTTGGCTGCTAGGCCCACGGTTCCTGAACGTTAAGCAAACGTGCCAGCACCCCCCCCCCTTTTAAAGTAGCGATCGTGGAGAATTGTTTTTAAATTTTTACACATTCATTGTTGCACATTTTCTTTTTGTGGGGAATTTTTATGCCCGCGAGTTCCCCCAAATTCTTTTCATAAACATCGCCTGAAGTGTGCAAGCCGCGGGCGCCCACCTGTTGGCTCCCTCCAGGAGCTTCCCAGCGCTCGCCCCGGCCCAGCCCGTGGAAAACGAACTGAAGGAGCCCTTTGGGGTATTCTTTTGCTTCTCTTCCCTCTTGAGCCCTAAATCACTCCCTTCCGCCGGCTGGAATTGCCTCGGAGGAGCAAAAAGCCAGGGCGATTTGATTTTATTGTATTCTTAAAAAGCAACTTGGTGCAATCTCCAAATTATTCTGGTTGCCTTGAGAGAGGCCAGCTTCACATTGGATGGGGTGAGTGGGAGGGGAGTCGGAAGGTCTGTCCTTTCTTCTGCTTGTGGGGAAAACCCAGTGTAATTTTTCGTTGCCACAGGGCACAATAAAGAAAGAGGGTCAGCTATGGTCAGCTGACACTTCCAAACTTCCCACTCGCTTCTGTGGCCCCAAGCCCTCCCACAGCCTCTCCAGCAACTCTGCAACTTCTTTCATGGGGTAGGAGGAGCCATATTTACTCTAAATCCCGGCTTCTCACCTTGTCCTCATCTGTGCTGTTACTTTAGGTGAAATCCTGGGAGACACTCCTTTTTAACTTGGTGCCTTTCGAGAGGTACCGGTGACAGAAACGACCTTGATTTTTTCTGTTTCTCTCCCCAGCATTCTCTCTGTAGTTTAGTGGGTTTTTTTTTTTTGCGGGGGTGGGCTCTGTGTAAGGAGTGGCCTTTATTTACAGAGACCCAAAAATATCCCCCCTCCCTAGGCTATTAGACTCCTTCTTCTTTGACCCGCATTGGCCGATCTTTTCTGGGGACCCTGAAAAGGCCCAAGCCTCTTAGCTTTCGAGTGACTTCCAGCGGGTCTCTTAGTGAAAATCAACTGCCCAGAAAGTTGGGATCCTTTCGGTGACAAGAGGGGAGGGTGACCACTGCGTCTGGGCCAGAACGCCCGGTACCAATGGCAGGCCTTCTTGTTCCCTTAAAGCAGGTGACAACGCCTGATGTGGAGAAGAAAATCGAGGAGTACAAACGAGAGAACCCCGGCATGTTCAGCTGGGAGATTCGAGACAAATTACTCAAGGATGCAGTCTGTGACCGCAACACGGTTCCCTCAGGTACCCGGACCAGCGGCGCCTCCCCAAGCGGGTACCCCACGCTCCTTGGGGCTTCCAGCACAACTATCGATCCGGCTGGGGAGGCAGTCCCCTCAGAGCCTCGGATCATTACCAACCAGCCGTGGAGGGCACTTTAAGGAGGAGGGGTGAATTACTTATTTGGGGGGTGGCAGTGGTAAGGGATGCCACTGAGGTCTCCCCAAAGAGGGTTTCTTACAGGAGAGGAGGCCAGGCAGGAAACGTGAGGCGGAGACCAAGCGTTTATTAATATTGATGTTCCCTTTTAAAGAGAAACAAATGTTTTGGTAACCCTAAGGAAGGGAGAGGAGGCCGCTTCAGCAGAGCCCTGGCTGCGCTCTCGAAGGAGGGGGCGCTTTAACCAAGGCCCCCAGTTTCCTGCGGGCGACCCCAGTCCATCGCCCAGGCGCCTGGGGGAGGCGGAGGAGAAGAGGGGCGAGCGCAGGGCGAGGGCGCGCTGGAGAGTTTGTTTTTAATTAAAAGGAAACTCCCTTTCCCCCCTTCGAGAACGAGATATTTCAGAGCATGGATTTGTTTACCAGACTAGAATCTGGAAAAAATAAAGGGGGGGGGAGTGCATTTTCTTTTGATTTTACAATAGGAAACGATTCTGGGGTTGAAATGCAAACCCTTTATGGCCTCAAATATTTTGGGGGGTTGCAGGGCATATAGGTTCACTGTGGCTCTGAACGGGAGTGGGGACGGGAACTGTGCCTGCAGGTGGGGTGTGTAGAGTGGGCTAGCGAGAGTGCTCCCCGAGATGGGAGACCCAGAGCCCTGTCCTTGGAGCAGGAAGGGAACCTGCCCGCACAAAGACAGGGCAGGGTTGGCGTTTCCGAGCTGCAAGGGAGGTCGTGCAGGGCCCCTTTCGGCACTGGGACCACAGCAGAGGCTGTGAGAGGGTTGGTGGGAGGGAGAGGGGCTGCCTGAGTTGGGGGGGGGGGAGACGGAGCCGGCCAGGCCTGGGGACGTGGATGGGGCTCGTCTCAGCACAGCCCCGCACGTCTCAACCGTGTGCGCCCCTCGCCCACCTCTTCTGTCCCCAGTGAGCTCCATCAGCCGCATTCTGAGGAGTAAATTCGGGAAAGGCGAAGAGGAGGAGGCAGATCTGGAGAGGAAGGAGGCAGAGGAGAGCGAGAAGAAGGCGAAACACAGCATCGACGGCATTCTGAGCGAGAGAGGTAAGCGGCGCCCACGGTCCGAGCGGGCGCCCCGCTGCGCCCGGGGCCCCAGGACGCAGGGAGGGCCAAGGCGGCGCCCTCAGGGTCCCTCCTCGCTCACAGCCCTGCACCAGAGCGAGGACGCGCACAGGGCGAGTAAAACGACGCAAGTCTCTGAGCTGTTTCATTTCCCCAGTTTTCTTCCACCCGGTTCCTCGCACCAGGAGCCTGATAGGCAGGGGGAGGCTTGGGAACAGAGGGTCTTCAGGCTTCAAAGTGGTGAAAACAGCTTTTGCGTCTAAGTTCTCAGGAAAGGTGAGGCTCCCTATAAAATTTCCCACCTCAGAAGCGTGGAGAGTGTGAATAAGAGGCAGACAGAAACTCTTTGGGGCACTGGAGAGGCGCCCCAAAGTCTGTCTACACTGGATGCCTTAAAGGTGTGTATGATGTGTGTTGGTGCACGCGTTAGAGGCTTTCCTCCTTAATTTCCAGTTGTGGCGGCTTGGGCCGGTTTGTGTGTGGGAAGCTAACCCAGCCCAAGCCCTGGTTCACAAACTGGGGTACTGGACTGGGTTTCTGCCCGAGCTGTCCGTTCCTCCCTTTGCCCAGGGGCTCTATCCCGCTGTGCCTGGCTGTCTGCAGCCTGTCAGCACCAAGGGATACCCCTTTCCCAGGCAGAAGTGCTACCACTTCCCTTTATCTGCTTCTTGTGGTCTTCAGACACTGATTTAAAAGATAGATACACACACACACACACACACACACACACACACACACACAAGTTTACAGTATTTTAGTGACTTTGGCCTTGGGCATGGCTGCATTTTGTTAAATGTAAAGAATCAGGAGACCCAGGCGCCCCTGAGTTCTCAGTCCAGGGCCTGACTTGAGTTTGTAAGCTGCCGTGGAGGACCTTCTGTCCTGGGGAAGCCTGTTCTTAGCTTCACTTCTGACAAGACCCTAACAGACGTGGAACAGTCACCCATGGCGATGAGGGGGAGCCCCAGCCCAGGTCTGGTAGTGAACAGGGTGAGCTGGTCACTTTTACTTTCAGTTCTCAGCCTCAGGGCGGACCATGGGCCCTCCAGAGTAGTGGTGTCACAGACCAGTGCCAACCCCGCACGCCTGTTAGGAGGGACACTCATCTAACTGCTGATGTTCCAAATCCAAAGAGTAGTTTTCAGGGATGAAGGGAAGCGTAGACGCTCTGGCTTGCTGCTGGCTGCCGGAAAGATGCTCACAAGCAAAGCAAGCTGAGCATGGCGGTGCCTGTGTTGTTTGCTTCCCTCGCTGGACCCAGCCTGGGTCCTCTTTTTAGAGGAGTGCATTTCTGCCTTGGTCCCTGAGAAGAGAGCCTGGCTTTTACTGCAGGGCTTGAAGTAGCAGAGGAGTTGGGGAGGGGGGAAACATTCGGGAAGCTGATCAACCTCAAAACAGCCCTACCCAAGCAGGCAGCAGGCTAGGCGCTCAGCGCGTCCTAGGCCCATAGCACTCCCCTACTTGTTGCTGGAGGCAGTGGCTGAGCCCGCTCTCCCAGAGCACATGCAGCCGGGCCGAGGAGACAAAACGCCCCAAATGAGCTGGTCAAACATTTGTACAACTTTTCCAGCTTTTACAAAGAAGGCCTTCTCTACACAATCTACACTTGGAGATGAACTTGGGACACAAAGGCTGGAGAGTCCATTGAAACTCACACTTTAGCTCGGCCCAGACAAAGCTCCAGCTCGCAGCAGCTTGATGTGAACAAAGAAAGGCAACCTTTTTATAATTCAAGGAGAAAAGAAGAGAAAACAGCCCCACAAAGGCCTGAGAATAGACATTATGGGCTTGCAATGAGGGATGAATTATTCAATGAGCCCCAATAGCTGCTGTGCCAGGAAGTTTTATGGACTCTCCAGCCTGGAAAAAGTGGCCATTTCACCTACAAAATGTTTCTAGTCTTTTGGGCTGTCTAGCTGGGCCGGCTGCCATTCAGGCGCAATTGCTACCATTTTTAAAAATCAGAGTCTTCTCCCCAGCGGGGGCTGCGTCCTTGAAAACACACACACACACACACACACACACACACACACACACGCTGAAGACTAATTTAATTTGGGGTTGTCAAGCCAGATGCAGTATCGGTCTCTTCAGCGCCACAAGTTGCCTTTGCAGATAAGCCCTGGAGGGCCAGGGGCCCCAGAGAAGGACAGATTGAGGTGTATTTTGAAGCAAAGTCTAGAAATCTCAAAAATTTCCCTCTGGTGGTTGCATCTCAAACCTTGTACGCTGGCCCGCTTGGGAAATAGAATAGAGGTAGATAAAGGGGTTTTGCGCCCCAGACCGGGGAGATCCGGAAGGCGGTCCTAAAGAAGAGGCTTTGGGGGGGGGGCGGTCGCGCCTCACCCATTCCTTAAGGACTGTCTTCCTCCGCCTTGCTGCTGAGGATACGTTTCCGGGGCATCTCTGGCCTGAGGACAGCCTGGCAGTTAGTGGGACAAGAGGAGAAGGCCTCTCACACCCCAAGAAGTCCACTCTCCTCATCTTCTGTTCTGTCTCTTAGACAGCCCCTTCCACTTTCCCTCATCTACGTCTAGCCCCCCCCCTCCCCCGACTGCGCAGCGTCTGGATACGGTGCTCTCTGGCCCCGGCGCCCCTGCGCGCACCAGGCTCCCTGCGCCCCCGGGCTGCGCCCACTCTCCCAGCCCCCTGGCCCAGGTAGGAGGAGAAGGTTGAGTGGCCAGGGCGCACCCCACCTCGCAGCCCCTGCCCCAGGCCTGTGCCAGCCGGAGGCCTGGGAGCCCGGGCCGGCATGGGGTAGCGTGCTCGGCGCGGCGGCCGCTCAATGGGCGCCTGTGTTCCTCCCCCGGCCGGCCGAGCGGGCGCCCCCACAATGGCCGGGCCCCCTCTCCGCGCCCTGCGCCAAAGCGCCGCGCCCCTCCCGCGCCCGGCCGGCCCGCAGCTTAGCTCGCCCGGCTGCAGCCGACTCAATCGCCTCCTTTATGCGCTTCTCACTTTCATCTAGACACAGCCCGCCTCCCCCTTCCTCGCCTCTTCTCCCTCCCTGGCCCGAGGCGCACATTAGTGAAATTTCTGCAGCCTCCCCCCACTCCCCCCCGCCCCGATTTTAAAGAAAGCCCTTAACACAAAAGCGGTGACTAATCGATAGAAACGGGTCCTTCATCTCCTCCTCCTCCCGCCGCCCCCTCCCGCAGCAGGGTGACGCTTTTCCTGTTTGCGAGTTTTGGGAAACATTTTTGCTTTGTGCCGTAATGGAATCAGAGGACAGATGGAGACTGTATAGTGGACACGCGACCTCGAGACTCGCGCTTAAACATTTAGATGCGTCGTGACAATTACGGGCTTGTTGGCCGGGCTTTGAAACGACAATTTGGGAGAGCGATGGGAGAGAGGCCAGATCGCCAAATTGATGTTTTGATTGGGGCCGGAGATACACGTTGGTCCACTTTCCCCCCTTTTTTAAAACCCACAACGAGCGTGGGAGGTTTGCAGCTCGGGGCGCTGGCCTCGCTTCTCGCTCCTGCGGGACGCTGAGCGAGAGACAGCGCCGCTTTGTGCTCGGAGAAAGCGGTGGCCAGACTTCTCCTGGGGTCCCTACTTGTTTGTAAACCTGGAGACTTGCGCGACTTCCGCTCTTCTGAGGACAAAGCAGCTCAAATTGCGGGGGAAATGTTGGGAAGGTCCCTGCAGGATTTCATTTTGAGAGAAATCGTGGGGAAAATACGTTTTCTGGTTAATGGGAGCGCGGCGAAAAGGCAAGGCCACTTGTCCCCTCCTAGTCCCTGCGGAATGGGGAGGCATGGTTTGGGGGGACGACGAGGGGCAGCCCTTTCCCCAGATTACGATCAAAGCGTAGCTGAGCTTAGGTTTGGGGTAGCGGAACCGCTCCTAAAGCGGACCATTCTCTCCCCCAATCCCTCTGGTGGAAGTGGGGTTTCGATTCCAACGCCCTTTCTTGCTTTAAAGTAAATTTTCTATTTTCCACGCTCAGCAAGGAAGTTACCAGTCATGTCCGTGTGCATGAGAATTCCCAGCGAAGGACCGAGATCCCCAGGCCACATTCTTTGCGTGAAGGAGCGAGAAGAGTGTGTGTGTGTGGGGGCATAGGGGGACCCCCCTCACAGAGGCCGGCCTGCAACCTTTGTCACGTTTAGGTTTTTTGGCTTGTTTAGTTTCTTTGGCCACCGTTTTAGACTTACATTCCACCCTATTGGAAACGTGCTGATGTTCTAATTAATGCTTGAAATCATAGGTTTCTTCTGGGGCTTAATTCGATTGTTGGTAGCACTGGATCAAGGCAGTAGGGGTTTCAAGTGAGTGATAATTACTGAGGGGCCATTGAGGAGTCCCCAGGGCTGAAGTATAAAACCCCTCGGCTGGGAGGCAGACCTAATAAGGGCGCCTGCAGAAATCAGTCACAGGACAGGAGTGTAAGCTGCCTACCCCAGGCTTCACACCCCCAAATATGCACATTTGGATGCGGGGGGGAAATCCTCCCTTGATGTGAGGCTAAATGTTCACCTTGTTTGTTCATAAATTACCAGTGGGGTGAGATGGCTTCACTGGCAACCAGCAAACCGCTCGAGATGAGAATTTGGCCCGAGGTGGGCTGAGAAAGTGTGGACTGGGGCTTCTGAGACAGGTGACTTATTTACTCGGGTAAATAAAGATTAAGAAACCATTAGGAACGTTCAGCTATGGCTTACAAGACACTCAGAAGCAATTAGCAATCAGTTTAATGCTTTAGCTCGCTGGCTGCTCTGGGGTTGTTTTACAACTAGGAATTAAAATCTGAAAAGGACGTTTTCAGCAGCTCTGGCCAAATATTGATTAAGTAGCTGTTTGTTGATACCATTGTTAGGTATTAAAAGGCCCAGGGTGCGGCCCCTCAGTGGCCATCTTCTATTGTGAGGGACTCTTAACCACAGAGATCAAAGCCAGATCATTGCAATTTATCTTCTTGGAAAATCCTCCTTTTCCTCAGAAACCTCTAAGGAAGAATTGACCAAATTCTCTAGGAA